AAGTACCTAGTACATATGTTTCTCTGAACTTTTAAGTAAAATTCATATTGGAGGTTATAGCGAATTCCAATTTTCCAAATGAGAACAAGAAATGTTTGTGGCATAAAATTTGCAAATGCATTCATTGTATTCACAGAAAACACTCAATTCTTATTTTGTAATCTGCATATATTATAAAGATCAAATTCCTTCTATAATTTTTATTTTCTCCTTTACTTGCTCCCAATATGTAGTACATATTTCTAAATAGCACTTTAGACTGCCATGATGACCCTTCTCTCTCTCCAGTGACATGCTCATTGACAGGGGGAGAGCAGATGAGAGCAGCAAGATGTTCATCCCTATGGATGAAGGTTTTCATTAGTTTTCCCAAACTGGAAAAAAATCTTTTTGATAAAGGATAAAAACTTACCCCCATGTTTAGTACATTGTCTTCATTACAATAGGCATAGACTATTAGCAAATGTGTTTAATAAATAAATCATTGATGCATATAGTGTTTATCTTTGTTGAAGTCTCAGGATATTATACCATAAGAATAAAACCATCATTTCAAGCTACTTTCAGTTTGTAAAACTTTGTGACTTTGTATCTGACATCAGTCATCCTGGGCTTACTTGTGTTACATTAATATCTGTAAGTTTGGTCACTGTCAACTTCATTGCTATTTTCTTTACAATTAAAACATATTTGCTGACTTTATAATGACTTCACCTACTGAGAAATGTGTCTTTTTTTTGTTCCTTTCCATTGTTGTATTCTTTTGATCAACACCATCCTATTCTCATTTTCAATTCAATTCTGTCTCTTTTTATCCACATTCAAACCTGCTTGAATTTTAGTGAAATAATTTTTCTTCCACTAGATTCCATCTAGTCTACAGACAGCAGTTTTAATAAATCTGCCTTTTAAAAAATTTCTCTTGAGAAACCAATATGATATTCAAATTACTGATACATTTTTAAAATCCCATATTTCCTTGACAGATTGCAGAGAAAATTGGAAAATTTCTCATTCATCAAAGGACATAGGAGAATAAAAAGGGGGATAGTAAAGACTCAGATGTAGAGGAAGAAAGTGAGATAAGAACAAAAGGAAGATTGTAGGGAAAAAAAAAAACAGAGAGAATGGAGCAGAATAATAGTGCAGAAAGTAGTGGCCACAGGCATACAGTATAAGATAATGCTTTATTTTTTACCGTTCAATCCATGATCTAATGCATAATGGTCTACTTGAAAAGTTGAATTATGGAATTCCACCCCGGGGGAGTCAGCTTAATTACCATATGCAGGCCAACATAGTCATTCGGGTTTTTCTGGGTGGTTGTGAAACATTACAAGGAATGTATAAATATACAAGAGAATTCAATTTGTGACTCTTGTCAAAATTTTCTTGAATAATCTAAAATTATTTTAATATCCATATTTTTAATTCATAGAGAAAAAGGTAAAATTTTAAAACTCTGACTGTACCCAGATCTCTAGTGTGAGTGCATTGTATTTTCATTTTAATAAGATTCATAAGTGATTCTTCTGTAATAAGATCACATTTTATCATGTGATCTCTTATTAGAAAAATGTGAAATATTTGATGTAGTATCAACCAATTAACAGAACTTTACAATTTTCTATGCCACTGATGTACTTTTATCCATGTGAGTAGAAAATATTTGCTCCATTTTTTTCTAGACTCTAATTGAATATTTTCCTTATAATTTATTTGAAAGCTTTGATGTTATTTATACAAGTAAAATTTCTTCAGAGTGTTGTAGAAGGAACGAGGATAATGGACTGTAATAATGTGGGGCTATTTTTGGTATTGAATTTATTTCTGCATATTGTAGCAAGTCTACTATGTATTTTTTTAGTTTATTTCCTGCTTCTGGGTGAGTAAATCACTCAGATGAGTAGCCAAAGACAAACCCTAGAACTCCTAGATTTTTTTCTTTTTATTTTATTTCTGGGTCAGCCCTTATTTTTCTTCAAATGCTTACCTATAATCTGGAGCCACCAAATAGGCTTATGATTCATCTCTACCAGTTAAGACACTGAATCAGGGAAAATCAACTTGGACCCTTTACCCCAATGCACACATACAATTTCTTGCTAACCTTTCCATTCCTGATGATCCCTGTTTGCAACCCCTTCAAGCTATAGACCAGGAAGTCTTTTAAAACATTCTCCAATATTTACCAAATTTTACCTTAGGTTCATGAGTAAAATCCATTGGATAGTTTCCTCTCATTTTTGTTTTGTTCAAACTATATTTTTAAAAGACTTTTATTTACTTATTTAAGAGGTAGAGTTACAGACAGAGAGAGAGAGAAACAGAGAGAAAGTTCTTCCATCTACTGGTTCACTCCTCAGATGGCCTCATTGGCTGGAACTGAGCACATTTGAAGCCAGGAGCCAGGAGCTTCTTCTGGGTCTCCCATGCAGGTGCAGAGGCCCAAGGACTTGGGCCATCTTCTACTGCTTTCCCAGGCCATATCAAAGAGCCGGATCAGAAGTGGAACAGCCAGGACATGAACCAGCACCCATATGGAATTCCGGGACCACAGACAGAGGTTTATCTCACAATGCCACAGCACCAGCCCCTTTGGTATTTGAGTATTTTGCAGAGCTTCTTCAATTTTGGTTTGATTATTGTCTTGTTGGAGTATTTTTCTTGCTTTTTGAAAAGCAGATGGGGGTGGTAGAGATAGAGAGGAAGACAAAATCAGAGTTCCCATTTAGTGTCTCATTCCCCAAATGCCAGCAATGCCTAGGGGTCTGAAACCAGGCACCAGCAACTCAATCCTGGTCTTCCACAATAGTGGCAGGGGCACAACTACTTGAGTGATCACAATTGCCTCCCAGGGTCTGCATTGGCAGGAAGTGGAAGTCAAAAGTCAGAGACAAGAACTGATCTCAGACATTTCAATACGGGATTTGTATCAACTGCTAGGAAAAGGCCGCTCGCCTGTTGATAGCTGCATAAATGAATCAATTGGTAGGACAAGTTCATGGCACACTGCTCTATTCGAGCAGTAATAACAAAAGCTAATATTTGTGGAATACTTCATTCATGCAAAATTTACGTGGATTATCTAATTAAATTTTCAAAATTAAATTATACCATGCTATAGAGGATGTTCATAGTCTCCACATATTTGAACCATAGGAAGGAAAAACCCACAGTCGAAATCATATTTACACTTTATGTTGTCTACTTGATACTGTGTTGGCTTTTTTCTTAAATTTTCAACATGACTCATCTGCATATGTTTATTTTTAGTACAACAACAAGCAAAGCAGTGCAAGTGCCTTGAATAAAATATTCTTCATGAGGTCAATCTCATAATGGATTATCTACCACATGAGCACACAGCACTGTTTGCTAAATTGAATAGAATAGACAGTCATAAAGATGAAATAAACTGAGTAAATTACTGTCTTTATAATTCCATCTGTGTCATAAAACCCAACATTAGAGAAGGGGGTTATTGCTCCAATATTTCACTGCTAATTTAATGCTTAGTAAATGAACTCTCTTTTTCTTAATTCATAAAACAGACTCAAAAGCAAGTTTTGGAAACCATGTACTTTCTGGCCACCAAGTGTGGATTAATTCCTATGATATTGCACATTTCTTTATCAGCTATATATCATTTTCCTCCTGTATTACATATATCTTCCATACTTCTGGCTTAAAGTCCCTTCTTTTACTTAAATTGTCATTGAAACTTCTGACCGATATTCATAAACCTTCTTCAATACAATTCCCATGTACAAAGTGATATTTTTTAAAAGTACAAATTCCTTGGCCAAAGTTACCAAAATTTTCTTGAACTTTGGAATAGAATTGTAGTTTGCAAGTACAACACATGATTCCTTTCATTATTTGCTGTATACTTACCTCTCCAAGGCCAGAGTTAAAAAAAAATTGTGCTTCTCTTTATCCTTTGTGCCAAGCAAAATAATACCTGTAGTGCTTCAAGCATGACATGGTCACTCCCATGTGTGTGTCTTGAGACAGAGCAAGGACATGTATCTCAGAGACATTTGGGCAGATCTGGACCCCGGGGGACTCCCTAGCCCCTACATTCTTAGGCTGGCTGTGTCCCATGCCCTGTATTCTTCCCCACCTCACCTCTGCATTCTGTTCTAACTGGCATCAAGGAAGAGAGGAAGACTGCCGAAAGCTAGCTTAGCTCTGCCGTCCCTCATGGCCCTCACCTGCTCATGCTATATTAACCCAGCCCACAGTGACACTTTAGCTCTCTGCCATGTGCTTGTTCTATGTGCACACCAAAAGTTAGCCACCTCTGTGAACTTATTTTTCCTTGAATAAACTTGTTTTGGCTGTGAGTTCGTATCCTGTCTCCTTTCTATTCTACCCCTCTTTCCTTATACCTTGCACGCTATTTCTTCCTCAATAAAGGGCCTTCCGTCTATATTCATTTTCCCTGGTTAACTTTCTTTTTTCTTTTTGACTCAACTGATAAGCTCTGAGAATGGCTCAAAAGAGAGATCACCTCTTTTGGGAAGGCTTCTCTCTCTTTATGTGATTGGGTTAGGTCCTGTTCACATGGCATCCAGCAAATAGACATTTATAGTATATGCTTGAAAATTGCAAATTTTCTTATTGGCCATATATATCATAATACAAGTTTATTAAAGAATTCTGTCTTGTTCTTAAGTTCTTAGTAATTATGACTACTAAAATATGTATGTTATGAGTGACTTTCTTTCTTTTTTTATTCAGCACAGTGTTTTACTTCTTGACATTAATGAGTTACGTCTTAAAAGTCACCTAGTATTCTTCTTAAAGGAAGGCATTCCCCGTTTAGGAGTTTATTAGAGAAAAATTATTATATTAAGAATAATTAAATCCAAAATGTGGCATTAAAATATGATTATAAACTAAATGTATTTATGTATATAATATTTAAATACATACATGGTCTTTTCTTAGAGATAAATACATAAAAAATTATGTGGGTATTTTTTGCTCAGGAATTAGGAATTATTTTAATTGATTAATGATTTTTTTTTGAGCTTTTTATTCACCTACCTAAAAGTTAATTTTTCTTTTCAATAAATATTTGCAAATTACTTGCATGTAAAGGCAGAGTGTTAGGCAGAGATGACTCAAGACTGCAATATGGCAGTTCATAGCCACTGTCTGCTATTTTTACAGTGAGAAAAATCTACCTTAGAAGGAATAAAATGATAGGGTACTTGTGTCCTTGCCTCCATGAGCTGAGGCTTCCCACTGTAGTTGAACCTCATGTGGTCAGACTACACTTTCATTACATTTTCCATTGTCTGCCAAAGATCAGGATCTCACATAGGGAATTTTGGAACCCAAGTCTCCAGTGGAGAGGTCAGTTTAATATCTCCATTCACAATTATCTTTAGACATTTTCTTTGCGTACAAACTAGAATCCTTGTGAGATAGCTTACTGCTCCCAAGTGAACTTCACACAGCAGCCCTCCCTACGTTGCTTCTAGTGACATTATTTCATAGTGAAATCATGCCTGGTAATTTCATAAAACATAGGAAAAGCACCCCAAACACCAAGAATTTTATGTTTTTAATGCACCAATGCTGAAAAAAAACACCTTTTTAAAAATAAGAATGTTTTCCTTTCAATTTGAACCAAAACTGATAGAAGCATAACTGATTTTAGAACATTTTTTGTTTGTTTGTTTGTTTTTTTGATAGGGTCGGGAAATCTACTCTAAAAAGTCTACCCCACCATAGCTAAAATTGTTACACTATTTTTAATTTTCCCAATTCAAATTAATGAATAATTTTCTATGTATTGGATAAGAATGGATTTGGCAGTGCAAATATCAGAGCAATCTCTTCATTAAATCGAGCAAAGAGAACTCACTGGCTCTCAAACTGTTAAATGGAATTAGGCTTTTTAATGAATGGAACATTTATTTTTGTGCCAGCTCAACTAACAGCACTGACATGATTAGCATACATTTTGGCAACTGTTCTAGCACAAGGTGTTAGTAAAAAGGAGCTTTTATCTTTGGGCTTAATTTACGTTAGCTTTTCTTGTTATTAAAGTTTTTAGTGTGAATGAGATGTTTTAGTCAAGGAAATCCTGCCACAAGAAGTTATTTGGAAATACATCTTTTTATTAATGCTAGACTTTTCTCATGTTGGAAATGAAGTCCCTATCCCAAAACTCATTAGCCTCCTTAAAGTTAGAAATGAAAAGAATATTTTGTTAATTATGCTGATGGAAAAGTCATTGCCCTTACAAAGGATTTATTTTTTATTAATGGTGCTTCTCAAATCACAAGTAATTCAGAAAACAAAAGGATTGTAAGAAACAAAATTTGACTGGATAATGATTGTTTCCTCCATCACTATGCTTCAATAATGAATGAAAAACTGACGTGGTTACAAAATCTGAGCCTCATAAATTCAAGTGCCTCTCATACAAAAGGAAATTCTTTTAGCAAACACTGCTACCTTATATTCTTATCATTTTGTTTATTGAATAAGGAAAGAAAAATTAGGTAATACAAATCCAAAAGGTTTTGGGTAATGGCATTAAATTATTTGTTTTTCAGTATAAATTTGTTTTAAAAATTATTGAAAGCTGTTGCAACACAGCTAACATTTGCTATAAGTATGTGGGAAATGAAAATTTATAATTGACAATAAATTTATAATAATTAATATTCATGTGCACATTAGTGGGCACACATTTTCATTTGAATTTATATCAAACTTACAGACATATTCTCTTGCTACTATATGTCTATAACCACATACATATTTAAAAACTTATCCAATGTTTGACTAATGAATTGGTTTAATAAAAATGTTAGCATAGCAGAATATTATGGTTTACTCACATTTTATCCTAAAAACAAAGAATGCCAAAAAACAGGCACTTTTGTGAAAGAACAACAGCCTGTTCAAAAATGGTAAAAATGAGAAATAAATTATGAAAATATATACTTTTAATTTGTAGACATATAAACACTTTTGGTACAATACAGACACATGTGCCAAAAAGCAAAATGATCCAGTTTAAGCTGACACTTACATTCCGTGTTTATACAGATAATTTTGCTATAGTTCTCATACAAAATAAAATTTCAAGCTTACACAATGAAGTGAAGGTGATATATCACTGGTTACCAGCTTTCTTCACTGCAAAATTCTGTAAAAGCTCAGTTATCAAAAGAATCTACTGCTGGGCTTACAAATTAACTCTTGGATTTAATCCAAAGCCAAAGAAGGAAAGCAAGAAATGGTAGCCAACAAACATCAGCAACAACAAAGAGATAAATATAAGTTTCATATAAAATGTAAAACTGAAACAACCAATACTGTACATTAGCTTTTAGAATAATCCAATTTTAATTCAACATTTATTTTCTAAAGTGATGAATGAGTTGAAACATAAAACTCAAATATATACCCAAGTTACAGCACAACTGAGAAGTTGTGTAAACATTCAAACATGGACACCTATTCAGCAAATAAGGAATAAAACATTTCCTTACTTCTGGCTGTTTTTCTTGGGCACAATTTCTAATTAAATTTTCTGCAGGGAAATATATATATATAATTTTATATATATATATATATATATATATATAATTCCCCTGTCAAGATAGTGCAGGGGTAAAGCACAAGGAAAGCAAAAAAAATTGAGTACACAGAAAGTGAAATACTCTTCAGCAGGTCGACTTTGTAACACATGGCAATGCTTTTATCCTTGCTAAAAATGAATTGCACTTTTTAATTTAATGCCTTCTCTTTCAAACTATACATGACGTACTTGTGAGGTAAAAACTTTCTGTTTATAAGTGCATTTCTTTTCCTTATTATCATATATTTAAGTAGATCAAAATTCCATTTACTTTAAGTTCCTATTAATTTAATGTTAAAAACAATGTATTTAAAATATACTCTTTCATTAATTTCATGTACAACATCTGTCATGTACAATACCTCAGTTCCCTGCAAAGGAGAAACTGATGCCCTCTTGTGGTGAAAGGACTTTTTAGACCAAAAGAAAAAGTGCTGTTTTCTTACCTTAATCCCAGGTTTTATCAATCATCTGCTTGGTTTATGAAAGCTGCAAATCATGTCCAAGCTTTTTTTTTACGTTTTATTATAACATTTCTATAGCTGTTAGTACTAATTTTCATTTAAAAACGCTGTACACATTGTATAACCTCTGGATTTGATTTTAAAAATCTGTAAACAGCTATTTACAATATAGTACAAGTTATAAATTAGTCGTCCTTCATTGGAGCTGCCATTGACACACTCTTACGCAGGTGAACAAGACTCTCCAGAGTCTATTAAAACACCATCCATTGTTATTCCACAGTGAAATATCAAATATTAGAAATATGCATTGGTTTCCTCTCTCTCATGTGCAAGTCAATTTTTCCTTTTAGTGGGATTTGTACTTCCAAATTGTCATCTTCCCTATGAGGCTTCTTCTCTTTCCTTAAGCAGATGTATATGCCCATGCCTGTCACAAGTGTGATGGAACCCAAGCTTATCACAGACAGAGCTACTAAGGTGGGCATGCAGGATAAGGATTCTACCTTCCTATGAGTTGGTTCTATTGAAATTTGTGGTTCTTTCTCCTCTATGTTAATTTCTGGTTCCTTTCTTAAAAGACTCTCAATGTAGCTCTCATTACTGACTGTGTCATTGACAAACAGGTTTACCATGACTGTGGAATGGAGAGGCTCAGGGTAACCGTGGTCGCTCACTTTCACCAGTAAGCGATGGAGCCCATAATCCGTCTGCAGCAAGGCCTCTTCCAAAGTGATGTTGCCAGTTTTAGGGTCAATCCGGAAGGACTCAGGCCTAGGCCCTCTTCTGCCTATGATGCTGTAAGCTATGACAGCATTCATGCCCGTGTCTTTGTCCACAGCATAGACCTCGGTGACTGGGGAGCCAGGCAGAGTAGATGGCAGTACCAACAAATAAGACATATTCGACTGAGGAAATAAAACAAGAGGAGGGTTGTCATTGATATCTAGAAGGAGAATTGTGATTTTTGTGGTAGAGGAGAGGGCAGGCTCACCCCCATCAACAGCTTCAACCCACAAGGTGTAAGAGCTTTGCTGCTCTCTGTCCAAAGAGACTTTTGCTCTCAACATACCTTTTCCTGTATCTATGACAAAAATATCGCTCTGGTTCACCACCGAGAGGGCCACCCATCCATTTCGCCCAGCATCTGCATCCGTAACACTGATCACTCCAATCTCACCATATCCTGGAAAATTTTCTGGCACAAAAAAGCTGAAGTCTTTGTTGATAAACCTAGGGCTGTTGTCATTTTTATCCAACACTGTGAGAGCCACAGTGGCTACTGATTCTCTGGGTGGCTTTCCACAGTCAACAGCTCTGACGGTGTACCTGTACTTTTCTTTCTCTTCTCGATCCAGCTGGGTAGAGACTGTCAGAATCCCCGTGACATTGTCTAAGGAAAAATAGGATGGAGCATCAGGTCCCAGAAAATACAAAACTTGGCCTCTCTCTCCACTGTCAGCATCTGTGGCATACAGCTTGGTCAAAAAGGCATTGGGTGCATTATTTTCTTCAATGGTTAGTTCTATCAAGGGTTGTAGGAAAACAGGAGCATTATCATTGTCATCTAAAAGTTGCACTTTGATGATTCTCTTGACATGAAATCCTTCAGAATTCCAGGCCACCACAGCTATTTCATAAAACTGCTGCAGCTCATAGTCCATTGGTTTTGTAGTCTCTAGCAAATATTCATTATTGTACGGCTTGTAGGGTGATAACCTAAATGGCCCTTCACCGTCCAGGTAGCAGTTGACCTTGTATTTATCTTCCGGATCTCTTATGGTGAAAAACGCAACAGGTGTGTGCACAGGTTCCAGTTCTTTCAGATAGACCACACCATCTATCTCATTGGCTATGTAACGAGGAACTATTTCAGGTGGTCTGAAGATGACTTTGATAACAGACACTAGAGCCGTGATCACAGCAGGGATGCAGCCCGGTCCATTCGCAAGAATGGTGAGCTTATGCATTTGTAGAACACTTCCTCCAATCTTACTGAAAAGTGTTATGACTCCTGTGGTTTCATCCAGATGGAACAAATCCTTGGATGCTTGTGGAACTTTCTGGCTATAAGTGTAGGTGATTTGAGCATTGGTCCCCAAGTCTCTGTCCACAGCCTGGACAGCTGCAATAGGGGTACCAACTGTAGCATTCCCATAGACAGTGACATTGATTTGTGAGTCTATGAATAGAGGGCAATTGTCATTAATGTCACTTATGCCGATGGTGAGCGTGGCACTGCCCAACAGTGGTGGAGACCCACCGTCCTCAGCAATGATGATGCTTACGTACTGGTCCTGGGTTTCTCTGTCCAAAGAGCCCATGACAATCAGGTAGGGGGTGCGCTCCCCATTCTCATTCTCTTCCACGTCCAGGGTGAACATGCCATGGTAGTCCAGTAAGCGATAGGTTTGCACCCCGTTAGTGCCTATATCTGGGTCCACAGCAGGATGCTCTATGGCCAGCCGGGTGTTTACAGGTGCATTTTCTGGGACCCAAACAGAAATTTGGGAAACAGGAAACTGGGGGGCGTTGTCGTTGATATCCCTGATGGCGATTTTCACCTTCACAAACCTAAAGTATTCCTGAGGCAGGACAAGCACATCCAGAAGTAAAAGGCAAGAGTCAGAGGATGGAGAGGAAGAGATGGAAACGCTGCCGCCCCAGGCAGCCTCTCCACCTCGGTCAAGACACAGGGCCTCCCTGTCGATCTCCTGGGCAGAAGTGTGCAGCTCCCCAGAGCGGTTGTCTAGGGTCACATACTGGCCGCTCAGTCCGCTGGAGGCCAGGCTGAAAGAGAGAGGCGGATTCCACTCGGCCCTGGTGCGCTCTGGAGACTGCGAATGCTGGTCCTGTCTGCTGGCGGCGCGGGGCACCAGCCGCAGGTCCTCCGCCAGGCTCCCGATGAGCACTCCCGCGGGCAGTCCCTCGTTCAGGCTGTACAGAAGCTCTGTGGCGCGGCTGTAACTCGCCAGGCAGTTGAAGGGTCCCACGAAGAGGAGAAACAGAAACAGATGCTGGAGAGGGGAGTGGAGGGGAGAAGACTCATTACACGCACTCAAAAACCCAGAGACCCGAGTTAGACACCAGATAGATACCCGACGGTCCTTGCTGCCCCTCTCTCCATTCCCTGCAGCAAAACCTTCATTCAGAACGGAGCGAAGAGGAAACTTGCTGCAAAGGACAGCCGTGTCGCACAACGTTCGCTGTCTCCCAAAGTTAATTTTTCCGCCCCCCTTTTCCATCGTCCCCTCCTAACTGCCCTTCCCGCTCTGTGTCATCCCCCATCCTTGCTCCCCTGCCAGCTAACGTTCGCATCCCAAACCTGGGGAACACACGTCCGAGTGGACAGGACTCCCACTCGGACTGCGCCACGAGCCCAAGGGGGGACCTCCAGGGTAGGTTTCCGGGCGGGAGGGGGCCGATAAGAGAGCCCTGCAGTGTGTACGATGATTTCTCACTGGAATGATTCAGCCATTGGGGTCCTGAACATGAAAGGAGTCATATTCCTTCCTAGGACACCGATAGAAACCACAGCAATAGCAATAATCATAATACAGAAAACATACGCCCCCCCATCATACTCTTAGTCTGAAAATAAGTAATTTTCATTTTAGCACACATCTAAAATCAAATGAAAAAAAAAAAAAGATCAGGATCTCCACCTCCTACCAAGCCCTCAGTAATCCCCCAGAAGGGGAAGCCAAGTAAACGCGGAAAATGATCCTGCAAAAGCAATTTGTCAACTGCGGGAGGGAGCCCTCACTAGACGCAGGCAGCAGGAAAGCTTCTCAGAGCCCCTGCTCCTAGAACTGATGGAGCGCACACATGGCCCCCTCCTCCGCACCAGACATTTATGCTTTAGAAACTTCCCCTCACCACCCAAGGACTTGCCCATTCCTGGCTAAAATGAAGACGCATTATCCCAAACTCCCTTTCCCTCCCGCTCCCCTCACCCCCCAGTCCTTCCGTGAAGTTTGGATTAACGTAAAAGATTGGGGGTAGGGGGGACCATTCAGGAGCGGGAACCGCTCCACAGTACCGCAACTAGTCGGGTCGCGGGGCAGCTGGAGCGTAGCCCTTACCGGCAGGTTCCTGTGGCTGCTGCTGCTTCTGGGACGACGTAGACGCCCCATATCCAGGCGCGGGTGCCAGGTCGCCGGGCGCCAGCTCACTGCCAGGGCTCGCGGGCTGCGCGCATTCCCTCGGCCGCGCATTCCCAGGGAGGCTGCAGTCAGCGCGCTCCTGCAGGGAGGGCGGCAGAAGACACTCCCTCTCCGTTCATGCAAATCGCTGGGGAACTTCAGCCAATAGTCACAGGCTTGTCAATTAGGGACAGGAACTTCAGGAGGGCAGAAAGACAAGGGGGTAGAAGGGTGCATTTTTGGTGTCCTGCCCCCGATTTGGGTAGGTGCAGACCCCGCCGGGGAAGCCGGAATGTGGGACTTGGCCTGAGAAGACTGCGATGAGGCGCCCGCTGCTCCTGCGCCCCAGCGCGTGTCCACTAGCCTTCCTCCTTGCTGCACCAGTCAGAGCCCAAGTGCTCAGGTCGCTAGCAAGAGAGGGAGAATTAAAATAAATAAATAAGCCTGCATCTGTGTCTCAGGAGCTAGAGGAAGTCGGCGCCACCGAGCGCTCCCAAATGCTGCCTTTGCCAATGAGTGCCTCCGAGACTCGAATCCAGTGGCGTTGCGCGAAAATAGAAAATGCACTTTTCTCAGCGGAGGGAGGAATTTCCAGTTCTCTGTTAGGCGGTGCGATCCAGAAAAACAAGTGCAGGAATCCTGTGAAGGTTTGATGCGCCTAGGCATTGGATCTTCGCGGCTAGCGGTGGCGGAGCTTCTGCGAGTTTGCTAGTTGGAGGCGCAAGTGTCTGCCAGTGGTCTGACTTTAGAGGCAGCAGCGGCTTCTGGCCAGAAGGAGCCTAAGGGACAAGTGGGAAGGATTGTGCGGTAGCACAGGTGGTTCTCCCTGCAAGCAATTTTAACATCTTTTCCTGGAGTTGCATTTGGGGTAGGGATGGGGGGAGTCCAAAAGCGTTAAGAAAAAAAATAAATAAAACTTGGTCACTTTTAAAATTCCTGCTTTCTCTCCCTTCAACCCCTCCTCCCCCTTACCCAACATCTATCTACTGAAAGTGGTCCTTCAGAACTCAGTCTAAGAGTATGGCTCAAAATCTTGGGTGTCCACTCTGGCTCTGATTCTGAAGAGTCATGTGATCAGGAGTCAGGAACCTCCTGATCACATGTGCTCCTTCGCACAATCAGAGCTGGTGGGACTCCAGTGCCTTGCCTGTGAAACACTGCTTGATCTTCAGGGTGCCTTTGAAGTAATGGCGAAGACCTGTGGCCTTTGCTGGGACATGCATGCTCTTCATCGCTTGGCTTTTCCTGATACCACCTGCACTGCCCTGAACATGCAACCTTCCCACTGAAGGAGCAGTGACTGAACCTAGACTGGGGAAAGATATTCCTGTGCACTGAGAGAAAGAACTGACTTCTCTGTGCTTGCCTTTAGAACCCACTCAAATTCTCTCCTATGGAATGCTTGCTACAATGTAAATTGTTTGGCTGTGCGAATTGTTTGCTTCTGACCCTTCTTTTTTTCCTTGTTTCCACTAATCCTAGAAACAGAGTCCTAAATATTGACAAGACACTACATCTGAACACCTGGTGTGTGACATGTTCTCATTGCACAAATGGTGCTGTATGTGGGGTTTGCAAACAAAACTGTAATACAAATCTGGCATATAATATGAGCCTGGCTTATGAAATCAGCTCCTTCAAGCTATTTGCAGTGAAATTAGAATGATGATGAAATGATAAACCACACATACACAGGGACATGAACACTGTAAGCAAAGCACGATGGAAGAAGTATAATTTTTCTATTTTCTTCAGCTGCCAGTGCTGCCCTACAGTTGAACTTTTACCATAATTGGTAAATATTTACTTTGAGGTCTGTAGTTAAAATCTATTTGACCCCAAAAGTCAGTACCAAGTTGCTTCTGAAATGTATTTTATTTATGTCCTCATGCAAGATCTACAGCTTCCAGAAGTTGGGGATACATAGCCAGAGGAGGCAATCCATCAGTGGTCAGGAGACATGTAATCTAAAGTAATTCTACATCCGTACAAGTATGGATAGGTACTGCAGAGGGTCAAATATTCCCTCACAGCTTATGCCCTGTCCAATAGGTTAGGATTATCTGCCAACCCCCACCCCTTGGGGAAAACACAGAAATACAGGGAACTCTTTTCTTGTCTTTTGTTTATAAGGACATTACATAGAAACTATCACTTAAGATAGTCCAATTGAGTGACATCATCTCTTGGCAATTATTTTTTTTCAGTTGTCATTAATTTCCCCTCTACTCTTAGGGGCTCTCTCCATACTTTGCAGTGAATACTTCTAGTACAAATGCACTTTTTATCTCCTGGTCATAACATTAAGCTACTACCTATGAAAGGTTTATTCCTGCTCCTCTCCTTTGTTGCGTTAAAAGGAAATTAAATCTACCCAGTTATTCAGCCATAGATTTTCTAGAGTATTTCTAACAATTGTAAACTATAGCAAATGCTATTTATGTAAGTTGAAACACAGTAGTTGAGCATATTACGTAAATTATGTGGGTTGGATGACAATAATACCACCTTTGCTTTAAATTACTATGATGTTGGGGCTGGCTCTGTGGTATAGTGGGCTAGGCCTCCACCTGCAGAGCCTACATCACATGTTGGTGCTGGTTCATGTCCCCGCTGCTCCTCTTCTGATCCAGCTCTCTGCTGTGGCCTGGGAGAGCAGTGCAGGATGGCCCAGGTACTTGGGCCTTTGCACCCACATAGGAGACCCAGAGGAAGCTCCTGGCTCCTGGCTTTGGATAGGCTCAGCTCTGGCCTGTTATGGCCATTTGGAGAGTGGACAAGCAGAAGGAGGACCTTTCTCTCCATCTTTCCCTCTCTCTGTCTGTAACTCTAACACTCAAATAATAATTTAAAAAATGACTATGATGTTGCAGATTTGCTGCATGGAAGTTTCTAATCAGGACTGGGAGATCTTTTCACAGTGCTGGGTAATACCTTACCTATCACCTACTTACTGTTAACTAAACTACTTGCTATTTTATTTTCTTTGAATATCTATTCAGAGCTTTCATGGATGTTTGTATATAATTGGGCTTTAAACAATAAAAATGACCAAATAGCCTTGCCTTCTTTGCTTCCCATGTACCCTCTTTCTGGGCTTTAAGAAAGCATTCTCAAACTCCTGTTCCTTATGAAGTCAACCCTGTGACCTACCATCTGGTGTCACATATTTCTTTCCAAAGATGACTTAGAGAGCTGCTCTGCTATTAGTCTCTTGAAAGTAATACTTACGGACTTCTCGGATGTCTCAATTGCTCTGGGCCTGCTTCCCAGGTGTTTTGTAAAAACTGATCTAGAAGAATGGTTAGATTATATGCTTCCCAAACCTTTTTTCCCCCCTAAGGACAAGGAAAGAAACGTAACACAAAGGTGGGCTCTGAGTCAAGCTAAGAAATTTGGATTCCATTCTCTGGGTTGTTGCTAAGATCCTGTGTGATTCTAAACAAGTCATCCCTCATAGATTTCTGTTTCAATTTCCTGGGAAAACACTCTCCCATACTACAAGCACACATAAGCACTGAGTGGCTTTCCTACTATCTGTTATTAACAAACAGTGTATGACAATATGCTGATTAATTTGATTATTTACTGCATTATAATCACCAAAGATTAATAATATTATTTTTCATTAACTGCAAGTCTTCTCTCCTTGAACTTGCATCTCTTTACAGAAATGTGAGCCTGCTAGTAAGATATCATCTTCAAACTTTGTACATTTGGCAAACATACTCTAAAACTATTTAATATTTTGAATTACTGCATTTTACATTTTATTTGTTGTTTACAATTAATTATAAGTGTAACATTTCAAATATTTTAATAATAGTATAGTATCTACAAATTTTAATGTGATACATTTATATATCTATATTTCAACCTATGCTGCACCATAATTCTTTTAAATTTTTTATTTATTTATTTTCACTTTATTTGAAAGGGAGAGAGAAAGAGGGAGAGAATGAGAGAGAATTCCATCTACTGTTTCACTCACTCTGTAAATACCCAGATCAGCCAGGGCTGGGCCAGGCCAAATGTTAGGAGCCTATAACTCAATCTAATTCTCCCACATGGGTGGCAGAGACCCAAGTACTTGAGTCATCATCTGCCTCCCAGGATACAGGTTACCCAACAGTGCCTTAACCTCTGCCAAATGCCCTCCCTTAAACCATAATCCAAGATTGCAAATATATGTTACTTTAGTTTAGGATGAATTCATGTTTTTGTCCTGTGAATAGAATTCCAGAAATTAGAATTGCATTTTATGACTTAGAAAACATGTATATGTATATAATATGTGTATTATATTTTTTGACCGGCAGAGTGGACAGTGAGAGAGACAGACAGAAAGGTCTTCCTTTACTGTTGGTTCACCCCCCAGTGGCCGCTGCAGCTGGCGCGCTGTGGCCAGCGCACTGCGCTGATCTGAAGCCAGGAGCCAGGTGCCTCTCCTGGTCTCCCATGCGGGTGCAGGGCCCAAGGACTTGAGTCATCCTCCACTGCACTCCCGGGCCACAGCAGAGAGCTGGACAGGAAGAGGAGAGGCCGGGACTAGAACCCAGGGTGCCGGCGCCGCAGGCGGAGGATTAGCCTGTTGAGCCACGGTGCAGGCCATGTGTATTATATTTTAATATGTGTATGTATATTATACAAATATACTGCATGTGATACAACTTCATATTGTAATATAATAAAATAAATATGTATTAGATGTTATAGATATTTTTCTGATTTAATAATCAATGTAATGATCACTTTAAACTATATTTATTTATTTGAAAGGCAGAGTTACTGAGAGAGAGGGTGAGACACACACACACACACACTCACACAGATAGAAGGAGAGAGAGAAAGAGAGAGAGAGAGAGAGAGAGATCTTCCATCTGCTAGTTCATTTCTGAAATGGCCGCCATGGCCAGGGCTGAGCCAGACCAAAGCCAGGAGCCAGGAATTCCATCCAAGTCTCCTATGTGGATGGCCGGGATCCAAGTACACAGTCATCTGCTGCTGCTTTCCCAGGTGCATTAGCAGGGAGTGGATCTGAAGTGGAACAGCTGAAACTCAAGATGGCAGTCATATGAAATGAAGGCATTATAGGCATCATTTGGGAAATAATAAAATGCCCTTTTATTGAGGGTTAATTATGTTCTGAACATCCTACTGGGTGTTTCACATGTGTTATTTGCTTAATTCTATCAGTTTTATTTATTTCATTTTATTTTATATTTTATTTTCATTCACACATCTTTAAGTGTTGGGGATATATTCTGAAAAAGGTGTGATATATTTATTGATGTGAGATCATCATAAAGTATACTTATACAAACCTAAATGGTGCAGCCTACTATACACACAAATAATACTGTGCAGCCTATTCTCAGAGTTGTTTTGCCATTTGCTCTGATTTGCTCTATTGTACTCACAGCAGTTCCCCCCCCCCCAAGATTTAGTCATTTATTTGAAATCAAGAGTTACAGAGAGGCAGAAGTAGAGAAAGAGCTAGAGAGAGAGGTCTTCCATTTCTTGGTTCACTCCCTGGCAGGAGCTGGGCCCATCTGAAGTCAGGAGCCAGGAGCTTCTTTCAGGTCTCCCAAATGGTGCAGGGGCCCAAACACTTGAGCCATCTTCTACTGTGTTCCCAGGACATAGAAGAGAAGTGGAGCAGCCAGTACTTGAACTGGTGACCATATGGGATGCTGGCACTGCAGATGGCGGCTTAACCCCCTACTCCACAGTGCCGGCTCCCTCACAACAGTTT